AATAAATTCATAGAAAAACTCATAATTTAGTTTATTTTCTTAATTTATGTAGCACTAATAACAGTAGCCAACAATCAGACTATTCCACATGAGCAAACACCTAGGAGCTTAGCGATAGCGGAGAGGAAGAGCCCCATTTTAACAGGAAGAGACCTTCAGCAGAAGCCAGGCTTGGGGAGGGGGTTGGCATCTGCATCTAAGAGGAGCATGGAGAGACCACGAACAACAAACTCAACAATATACAAACTGCAGGAGAGAAGACAAAAGTTAATGACCAACACTTGCGGCATCTGACATTGACATAAATAATAAATGATAATGAAAATAACGATCAATTTCAAACCCCACTGACATTTCCAGCAGCAGCAGTGATTTCGCTGACAGTGACATTTGCGAGCGCTCGTCTGGCTGCACTGATGCCGTTTCTTCCTGCAGCGACTGACATTTCCATCAGCAGCAGTGACGTCTCTAACAGAGGCGGCGATGAGTGTCTCTGAAGTGAGGATGTTCTCTCTGCATCCGTGACATTTCCCCCCCCCAAACGTGCCGCTCATACTTTCCCTGCACCTGCTGTGATTATCTCTCCATACAGTACGCAGCTTTTGTTATTAATGCGAGTTGCACAGTGCTGATTTTAGCATCTTATTTCCCAACAACACAGTTTGTGCGCTATGTCTGCAGGCTCTGCACAAATGTGTTTGCATTACCTGTGCCAGGTGAGCGTGGAGTCGCAGACAGAGTAAACAGCAGCCAGCACGCTGTTGTTTCACCGCTTCATTTCATTTTCTTTGCACATGTTTCCCTTGTTGATGTTGCCGCAGTGCGCTTGTTTTCCCCTGAGGCTTCTCTTACAAATCGTCCGGTCTGTTTCTTCTGTAGTTACTGACGAACAGAGCCTACCTCGTCCTGCTGCTTTGCTTCGGCTCAGGGATCGCCGTTTTCACCTGCTTCTCCACGCTGCTGGATCAGATCCTGTGTGTAAAAGGATACACCAACGTAAGTATATGCCAGGAGAAAGACTCCAAATCAATGTCATCGAAGGATAAATGGAAAAAAAAAAGCAACCCAACGGTATATTTGAGACTAGATGGTGGTGATGTTACAGCTCTCAAACTGAATAAATTAAGAAAAAGGTTGATGAATGTGTAATTTCTTTGCACAGTAATCTAACATCTTATTGAACGAAGTGAAAGAAAGCTTTTCCCAGTCTTGCATAGATGCTATTTGCTGTAGAAAACATGACTTACAACAGTTATTTACCTACTGAACCTATCAAATCTGACCACTGCAGGACTTTGCTGGGTTGTGCGGCGCCCTCTTCATTGTGTTTGGCATCATCGGCGCCGGTATTCTGGGTCTTTATGTCGACAAAACCAAGAAGTTCATGGAAGCCACAAAGATCAACATGAGCTTCTGTGCTGTGGCGTGCATCGCCTTCTCAGTGGTGAGAACATTCATTTATTACACAAAGAAACGTAGCTGGTCCCTGACTGTTCGTCAGGCCAGGAAGAAGGCTCTGCATTAAGACTTTTGATTGTTACGTTCACTGAGGGGCAAAGGTAGAAAGTAACGAAGTACAAATACTTAGTTACTTAAATAGAATTTTCAGGTATCTGCACTTCACACGGAGAGAAACGAGAGTGAGGTAACTTAGAGATGGAAAAAGATGTAGGAGGACAGGAGAGGAAGACGAGAGGTTAGATTTAAAGGCAAGGACTGCTCAGTGGTGTTTGATAAACTGCAGATTTAAAGCTTGCATGTGATGTCTTCATTTGAATTTTTATATAACGTGTTTTGATAAATTATCAAGTGTATTCACACTAGCCAGTGCTTCATGATCATCCCTCCTGTCTGCTTTCCCACTGACCACTGCTAATACTACCTCTGATGATCTTGGCTTAAGTATGCTTCAGTCCATCTCAGCATTTCAGCTCCACCTCAGCCTCCTTCATTTTCTCTTTCATGCACAAAGCACTCTTGCAGAGCACGATGTTCTTGTTTTTAAGCATTTTGTGGCTTTATTTGTGAAGCGGTGACATGCTGTCCTCTCACATGCTGTATATGGATACAGCTGTCATTGATTAAGAGTCCTCTTCCAGTTCACACAACTGTTCCCGAGCACAGCATATAAACTAGACTTTGGATGCTACAGATCGGCTAATGTGAGAATGACGTAATACTGGGTACTGTTTATCCTAAAAAAGTCTTGGTCCTGGATCAAATCAAGCGACTGTCAAGTTTATGAAACTATTAAGCCTTTCGTTATGATATGGAGTGTAAACTGTGACCATAAAGACGGGCGCATAGTGAGCAGGAATAATCTATGGCATAAAAACCATTGGACTGATTGATAGATCTCAAAACGGCCATTCGCCACTGAAGCTGGCTCCAAAGGTGAGTCAGTCGCCAGTCTTCTGCTGTTGTTCTGAGTTTTAGAGACTGCTGCAATGGAAATCTAGGAAATTATGGATATTTTCTTTTTCTCCTCTGATTTTGATATTTAATTTGAACATTAATGCTGAACTCTTTTCAGCAGGATTGTATTCATTTCACGACAGATTGTAATGATTATTTCTTAATCTAAAGTATTTTTTGTGTGCTGACACACAAACCATGCTGTCAGAAATGTGCTGCAGATTCTTGAAGTTAATTTTTTGTCTATATTAAAACTGGTAAACGCCTCTTGCAGACTAACGTACAGTTTTTTTTCCAGGCAGACGTTTATATTTGCGTGAAGTGTATGTCAGACAGAAGTTGAGGGCGCTTAAAGGAAATGGAAAGAGTCAGTGTTTGATGTGCAAACACTTTGAAGAGAAGGCTTGTTTGGTCTTTTTATCAGGTTATGCTGACAGCTCTGTTATGTTAATGCAGTGTTTCAGTAAAATACAGCATAAATTAAAATTCTATATCCGGTTATTGAGAGGACATCCACTACATAAAGAAAACTGTCTTCAGACGCGGGATTTATATGCAGCAGACAGTAACTCAAATAAACACAAATAATTTACTCCATATACTTTCTTAAATGCTCAAAACCCTTCTTCTCCAGTGTTATGGACAAAATAATGAACAAAAAAACAGTGATGGGAAGGTGAACGTCTCACACCAACTAATGTGTGTTACATAAATTGAAAAAATAAACTTGAAAGTCAGGAAAATGTTATATTATGAATATAGTAGTCTGGGTTGTTTTGTTTTTTTTGCCCTCCTTGGAGCTCACATTTTAAATTTTATGGAAAGGCATGTTTTCATCACAGGAAACTGAACTAACATTAGAAAAATCCACTGAGGAGCCACTTTGGTTCATCAGTAAAATGACTCTGGCATATGCTCTCACACATTTGCAGGTGCGAGGAAGGGAACAACGAAATGTGTAGCTTATAAATTAAATATAAATATTTAAAAATAATAATAAATACAGCCTGTATGTAAATACATCTAAATGTACAGAGTTGGATATGCATTAAAATTTAGGCACTAGAAGACGAGCGACTGGTATGAATCAATGACTGAATTTAATCAAAGCTCTCCTATAAACACTTGAAAACAAGCTTCGAGAATCTCCAGGACTTTATTTGGGTATTTATTCTGAAGCATTAACGGTCAGTGGTCATCATGAAGGCTGCGTGTCGTCAGTGAGAGGTGATGAAAAGTTTTAAAAAGCTTTTTCCCCTCACAGGTTTTAATTCGTCTCCCACTGACTCTCACTTCTAATGTGTCTGACTTAATAGAAAGAAATTAAAAAGCTGTGGGTGCCAGCGAGCCCCAAAATAAACAAGTGTGTAGTTTATTGATTGTAAACGCAGTTAAACAACCCCTGTTTAAATACACGAGGGTGGCAGAATATTAAGAACGCTCGAGAGTGACCAAGAGTGGCCATCCAGTATTATAGTAAACCTTCACCTGAGTGTTAAAACAAAAAGACTCAGGTGACTCTGTTGATGTACTTTAATATGTGGAAAAAACTTATATTATATTGTATCAAAGCCTAAAAGACCCCCTTTCTTTCTGGTCCCGGCCTCTCAGGTGTCTCTGATGCCGCAGCAGAAAGTCGCCGTGGCCGCCGTCTGCTCTTTCTTCGGCTTTTTTGGTTTTTCCATCTACCCGGTTGCCATGGAGCTGTCGGTGGAGTGTTCGTATCCCGTTGGAGAGGCCACGTCAGCTGGACTCGTCTTTGTATCGGGGTACTAATGTCTGAGCAACACATACTTATGGTTTTATCTCATTTTTTAAAAATACTGGAGTTCTTGCAAAATTCTGCTGTAAATTATCCTGAAGATCGTAAAACCACTTCAGAGACAATATGAGGAATGTATTTATCATCTAATTGTCTTAAAGTCTTATTAAAGAATGGGGGGG